AGATCCAAGCGTATTGTGCGATATCCCCGATCGGAAATCCATAGAAGACCATAGCGACGTCGTCTTCTCATACGTCAAACATGTACTATCAGATTATCTAGACCGACATCGGGTACTTCCGCTAGTCATTTATACTTTAAAAACTAGATGTTGTAGAAAATCGAAATAGCACACGCAGCTCTTTATATAAAGACGTATACGAGAAAAAACTTTTTTTCGTTTCTTTAATAAAGTCATCCAGGCCAAATTATTTACTTCAATAGCACATATTGATGTCAAGAGTGAGGCTTCTTGCCTGATCGGGCAAGGCATATTGCCCGTTTCGGCAATAAATCCCTAGAAGGTGCTTCTTCCCTACTCTGAAAAAATAAGCACCTCTCCACTGTAGGTAAGCGTCATCTTATGCAGTTTTTGATGCTCTTTCAAGTGGAATAAGTCTCTTCATGCGTCATCGCTTTCATTTCTGCGCTGATGCGTTGCGAGAGAAAAATGTGGAAATCTGGCCGAAAGGAGCAAGGTACTCCTGGCCCGATCAGACCATATTGCCTCTTCGGGCAATATTGCCTCATCGGGCCAGAAGTCATGACAACGGACTGACTGTTACCACCTTCTTTGTACAGCAGTGGCGTACATTTATCTATCACATAGGTTCCTCTTATTGCTCGTTCAATAGCATTTAATTTGATTACAAATGCTTTGCATAAATTTGGATCTAAATCTTGGAATTTTTCTAATAATGGTTTAATTACTTGTATTGTGAGATCTACCATAGTTGTTATAAGTTCAGTTGTTCTCAGTTTTGCTTTCGTTTCTTATTCTAGTTTTTGTTAATGCTTTCATCATTGCATTATGGATCCGTTGATAAATGTTTGTCTCCACATTGCACACATTTCGGTTGTTTAGAACAGTATTGGTTATGATTATTATTAAAATCTTCTAAGCAAATACGGCATATTTGACGATTTTCTTGACACTGAGAGCGATACTTTGTTAGATAGCAAAGTCATCTTTTTAACTGTTTTTTGTTAAACACCTCGAATGACGAGACACTGTTTCTAAATGATTAAAAGCTGTTTTGATTAAAATCAACTTTTCTAGGGTAGTTCTTGATGTTGATCAAGAATCTGATGATCGTATGGGCTCTTACTAAGTTTCATGAATGGTGCGCACTAAGAAATTCTCATGTGTCCAGTTTGTCGAGTTCAACAAGTTACCTATGTAAAGAGATTTTTAGAATTGCCCAAGTAACTGAGTTCTAAAAAAATTTCGATTTCAAAAGCAGCGAAATATCATCTTTTCTCAGCTTTTTTAACAGTAAAAATTCTATAACTCGATTAAAACTAGTTGGGTAGTTCTAAAAACTTCTTCATATAGGTAACTCGATGAGCTCTACTAACTAGCCACATCAGAATGTTTTGGTACGCAGATTCATGATGGATCTGCTGCGATCCGGTTTCTATTTCTTTTTATTCAGCTAGAACGGTTCCGTCGTGAGTGATTAGTGTGTGTAAGCTTTAAATAACTGTATAACTTTAAATTTTATTCACAAGAGAGAAGAAAATACAAAACAAAAGCAACGATGGTCAAATTATAAAATTGTACTTATAGGATCATTATATGTTTTATGATCATTCTTTCGTTCTGGACGATTTTGAGCAATTAAACTTAGATAACGACCGGTTAGGGCAACCATATCTTGAGCCTATAAAAATTTTAAAAATAAATTTTTTTAGTAATTATTATGTCTAGTGTCTACTTCCTTACTTTATCAATTTGACATTGAATTAAATTTGGTTGTGTTAAACTTCCATATTTAATATCGACAGTATTTTGATGTCGACGAATCGATATAATATCATTGAATGGAATAGAAAACAGTGATTCCTAAGAGATGAATAAAAAATAGATATTATTTGTCTAAACTAGATAGTCTTATGTATTAGATTTACATGTGTTTCTTTGTCAAGAAATAGTAGACCATTTTTACTAATACCAATTAAACATGGTGATGACACGGATAAATGATCAATATACTAAATATAAAATGGAATATAAACTATAGATAAATCTTGATATAAATGAGAACATACTTGAACGGTATAAAACGTTGTACCGAATAATGGCCACGTTTGTAAAATAGCTAAATACAATTATTCAGAAATATTATAATATATTCGATAAGCTGAAAATTTCTTACTTAAGACTTTGATTTTAGCTTCCAAGATTGACAGTGATTCTATTGTTTTGAATTTTTGATGAACATAACTTGTCCAATCTTGTGGTCGAACACTTTTCAATGCCAGCAATGCCGTTGGCAATAAATATTTGACTTCTCTCCTTAAAAAAAATCTCGAAAGTCTCATGTGTGTTAGGAAGAGAAAAAAGAGAAATTATGTACATGGATGGTAATGCAACTTTTTTTGATGTATAATGATGCAGTGCTGCCAATAATGAAATTTCTTGCTGAAGTATAAAAAAAACAATTAATTTAATAAGTCGATTGTATAAATTCTATCTTACGAACCACTCTTTCGTCAGTAAATTCATGTTTTTGTACAATAATCATTGTTCCATCAAGATAATCTGGCATTATTTGATTATACATTGAATTGATAAATAACTCATTATCAAATTTTAATGGTAAAAAATACCATAACAATCGTTTAACAATAAAATGATATTCTCCAATATTTGTTCTTAAACATTCACTTAGAATATCCAATATATATTCTGTTGGATTGAGTAAACGAGATGTATGTTCTAGATAAAAAAGATGAAAATTTACATTCTGAACTAACTATATCATTTCTATTTCTTTGATGCTTTGGTTAAATTTACCTGAACTAATAACATAAATTGAGTATTCATCTTGTTCTAATAGATTTGTTATATTTAAACGATCACATACTTGACTAATGCAATCGCCAATGACCTATTTTAAAATATAGACTGACATATGAACAAACACAACATATGTAAAACATAAAATTACACATACCATAGAGGGTTGAGTCTGAATTGTTATGGGTAAACCGCCTGGAAGCAAGAGAGTCTGACGTTTTGAATTTCGACCATTCTTTCAATGTAAATTCAAACAATGATTGTGGCTGTTATATTAACAATACATTAAACTTACTGATGTAGCATCAATTTCCGATTTGCTTGGAACATTTTTTCTACCACCATATTTAATCGTTTGATTATAGTGTTTTAAACATGTTTGAGCTTGTAAAAGAATAAATTAAAGTCATGAATATGTCATGTAATGAATTAATTAATATTTACCCTCCTTATTTGAATTCGTTATATTATCGTTGATATATTTCAATACATATGGTCGAAGTGCTTCGTTTGGTATGAAATAATTGGTTACAACAGACAATAATGACCAACCACGTTTTAAACTATCCGCTTTCGAACTCTTATTGTTTGTCAACTGTTTGAGTAGCTGACTGTATATTTCGTCTACCAAGTCACGATGTTTGTACATATTCTAGGAACAAAGACAAACGTATAAAATGCGGTTGCGGTAAAAGACAGCTTTTTGTTAGATTTAGTTGATGATGAGAAATCGTTATTATTTCTGACAGAAACAACATGTTTCTTAAGAGTATCCGTGCCCATTTTTTTTTGTCCATTCTTCACAAGATGTCGGCCAACGACAAACCAAAAGTGATAAGAAGTTTATATTTTCATAATAAATGAAAATATTGTTTGTGTTTGAGCTCTTCATCTATCATCTTCGCTGTGATTTCAAAAAAAACTTGGTTCTTCATTGGCACCTATCACGCCTCTATCAAGAACTTATCCAATCGGTTTCAGATCTTTGCCGCAGGAACGTCAGATCCAATCTCAGACGTGATTTTTTTGAAATTTTCTGAAAATATCGATTTCTTGCCGATTTGTGTCAAAAATAATGAAACTCCAATAAAATCACAAGTTGTTCCTTTTCAAAAACCCCATAAATCAGGAAGGAAAGACTTTTGAAAACAACCACAGGGAATCCACTAAACAAGGCTTGTTTTGTACGACACGATGGAAGGTCAAAACGACTCTCATTACTTTTGGTTTTGCATTTTTATGAAAAAGGAATTTTGAATTTTTGGTCGCAAATGGATGGAGATGTGCCTTGAGAAGGAGCTGGATGGAGAGCAATGACAGTTAAATTCATTCACATACTTTGAGCAGATAATAGATGCAATCAATTTCTGATTGTCCTTTTCCCATTGAATGGTCACCCATAAAACGCATAATAGCTGCAAAATCAAGAAGAAACATTGAAAATAATCAAAGAAACGCATGGAAAGTTTTTAAATTTGTTACCGATAAAACATTGTCGAGCTGTTCGTGCCATCTCACTTGATGTTTGACGAAGTAAAGGTGCTTGAATCGGTGTCTAGAATGAAACGAAAGCATTTTTATGGATTGATAATCTTTATACTGTTTTCACTTACTTTACTCCATTTAATTAAATCAGAATAATCATTCCATGTCCATTCTAGAATAATCATAAAAAATAGTTGATTTAACTTTTAAAATTAGATTTTTGTCTCTTTACCAACCTGAATTTTTCCAACTTTTTTTGCCTTTCCTATAAAGTAAACGCTGTTTAAAAATTTATTTGTTTTATTCTATTGTTAACTAACCGTCGATGTGGTATTTTGAAATTTTGTAGGGCATATTCCATCATTGAATATGTTCCCGGCAATGTGCAAACTGGAGACATATCTCTATGAGTTGGTCGAGATTCATTATTTATATCCATTGATGCTGATGTGATCATTTCACTAAATGTTCGACTACCACTTAGACTACCTAAACTGGATGATTTTAAAGGATCACTACTTGTTAATGGAGATGTTTTGCCATGTTTCTAAATCCGCATAAAATTTTGTCACTTAATATTGTTTATAGCAACATAGATATAACTTACTTTACAAAGTTCTTGTTGAGAGATAATACGAACATGATCAACAGGCACATGACCTTCTCGATTATCAATTGCACCGTAGAGCCAGCCTTTTTAGAAAAAGAATTCATTGAATATGGTTGAATTAATCGATGGAAAAAAAAACTATATTTACCATCGGGCATTGGTCGTAGTTTTGATATTTTAATAACATCTCCTGTACGAAAGGTGAGACAATCAGGCTGTGATAGTCGTGAATGATGATCTCGAATGGCTCGAGCAAAACAAGATATCTAAACATCTATTTATATCAAGTATAACTGTTGAACAAATGTGTTTTACTGTTACCTGTCCCGTTTCTTTAGAAAATATTTCAATCATTTGTTTAATTTTTCTTGCCTTATTAAATATTTGAAATGATATAACAAAATAAAAGATTATTTTTCAAAAACGACTTACTCTATGTGAATGTAATGTAATTCGTTTTCCCGGTATCCGAATATCAATGGTATGAACACGAACATTTGATACATGTAGAATTTCTTCAAGAAGAAATGTTTCAATCACTTGTAGTGTATCTGTTGTTGATGTTCGCGTTCGTTTAATTAATCTTACACCAGAATGTGATATACCCAACATTTGAACGTTATCGTTGTATTTTGGCATCTAAAAGATATAAATAATTATTCCATATTATCTTGAGAATAAAGTAAAAATGATAAATATTCGTAATAATTCCATCGATAATATTTTTATGTCGTCTTATCTTCTGCAACTGAATATTTCTTCTTTGTCTGTTTTTAGGAAAATCGCTTCATCACTATGTACTGTCCTGCTTCGTGTGAATCACTACTACTATATGGCAAGTCTACGATTTTGACAGAGTTCCCAGGTAAGCAAAAAATTACTGAAGGCGGCCGTCATGACTAGTCCGAAATGTCCATATATCCCGTCAGGACTAGTCTGGAACGTCCTTTTCGCTCGTCATGACTAGTACAGTTTCTAACAAATGTCCGTGTAACCTATCTGGACTGGTCTGGAGCGTCTCTTCGACGCGTCATGACTAATCTGTCTTGTCAGCTATACCCGTCTAGACTAGTCCCAAGAAAAGCAAGACTCTTGTTTTTCTATGGACTTATTTACTATGGAATTATTCATGTCACTGACATGAATAATTCCATAGTCTTAGTTCGAACCATTACATCATCTGCGCAAACAAACGGACGTCCGGTACATTGTTCTAGACAAGTACTATTGTGTCCGTCAACAGGCACTTTCTGATTAATCTTTTGGGAAAATAATGTACAGTTCAATTATGCATAGAAGTATACGCCACGTTTTGTAGAGCGCATAATTCTGTATAAGATGGAGTAATTTACAATGCTTCCAAAGATAACTTCATGAAGAAACTTAGACATCAAATATAACCGGTAGCAAGAAATTGGAAAAATTGTTCTAACAATTTCAATTCCACCAGAAAGGTGTGAGTTTGAAACAGAAGCGAGGTGATATTTGGAATCCACGTGAAAACAGAATTAAACGATGCATATAGCAGGGATTTTTGAGAAAATAATTTTTTCAAAAACTTCCCGTTTGGCTCAAACATGCAATCGTGGACTAAAATTTTTAAAAAAAGTGTTTTTGCTCAGAACTATTTATTCGGAAGTTATGATAAGGTTGTAACGACCCAGGTGAAACACGTCTTGTAAGACCTTGCAAGATCTGATGTTTTCTTGTGAAATCTTGTAATAAGGTCTTACGATATGATCATACAAGACCTTATTATAAGATAATATAAGATCTTATGGAATC